TAACGCCACGACCCGACCGCACCCCCCCCTCCCGCCCACCTCCCCCACTCCCCCCCGCCCCCCAAACCCCCCCTACGCCCCCGAAACCGAAGCCCCTCGCCCAACTCCCCCTCCCCCCCCACCGCACCCCCCCCCACCCCACGCCGTCCGAAGCCCCCCCCTCCCTCCTCCCCCCACGTCTTCGCCTCCCCTCCCCCTCCCGCTTCGATTCAGGGGAGCGCCCGCCCACTTGGCCCTGGGCTTCGTATCCCCCCCCCTCCGCCTCCAAGGGGCCCGACTGCGGAGCGCCCTCCTGTTGAGTTGGGGCCCGGCATGGTGCCACCGGGGCCTCCTCCCCGGACTGGGGGGGTGCCTCCGCCCCCCCCTCCGAGGTTGATGCCGGATGTGGCGCCTCCAGGAACGGAACCTGGTGAGGATCTGTCGTAATCTAGCTTCCCTACAAAATGCTGCATGAAGTCAGGGTTGAAAGGATTTTTCAACCCTGACTTCACGTCTCTTCAAGTCTCTCAAAAGCTGATGTATTGGAAGCGGGCTGATAGTTTCAAGCCGACGAGTTCGCAGGGCAAAGACGCCGCTGAAGCCCCTGTTGCGAATGCTTGACGGACTACGACTTCTGAACGTACATAGGCGGACTCTCGTCCTTGTCAGACGCGCCTGGTCGGTGCTGTCGCTCTATGAGGGTGTATGCCGCTTGCTCTTTCCCTCGTGCAATGACATATAAAACTTGAAAGTGTCTCAAAGTTCCACTTTCACCACTAATCTCATCATCTGCCGACCCATTTTCATGCAGAAGCGGAGTTGAGCCCGCCAGGCGTCCCCCCCCCTCCTCCCCCGCGCCCTGCTCCAGCCCACCAAACAAACGACACCCCACCGGGCCCCAGTTCAGTTCCTCCCCGTGCCATCCCCCCTCCTCCGCCTCGCGTACAACAAGCCTCCGTCCCCCCACCCCCTCCCCCCCGACCAGCTAATCCACCCCCCCAAAACGAGACAGCAAGCTCCGGTCCCCCGGGCGAGGATAGAGCAGAAACCAGAGAAGCAGAGGGGGGTCCCTCCCGCACTCAGATGCGCCCCCCCCCGGGGCCGCCGCCGATGCGCGCCCCCCCGGGGGGGTTGATGCGGCCGCCCCCAGGACCCCCCCCTGCGATGAGGCCCCCGACGGGACCCCCCCCCATGATGGCGCCGTATGGAATGAGACCGCCGATGCACTTTCCGCCCGGGATGAGACCCCCGGTCGGTGTTGCACCCGTGATGAGGCCCCCGGTTGGCCCTCCCCCGGGCGTGGCGGAGGAGAACCGGCCGTCGTTTGTGAAGGAGGCGTCGGCGGAGCTGACCGTGAAGCCCCGAGTGAAGGCGCCCAATAACCCGGAGCTGACGTCAATGGTGAGTGAAGCCGCTTACTGATAATTCTGAGTCTGCTTTTGTTTTCTTGGTCTGTCTGTGAGTCTGGTTTTCGCAAATCCGGAGCGGAGCATCTTCTTCTTAGACCTTTGTTTGAACCTCGGGGTTCACTTTCGAAGCTCATTGTACTGTTGCTCTCACGAAAGGGATTGCGAGCTGGTGCTTATCTGAATTTTCCTTCTCGTTTCCGTACCCCTTCTAAATAAAGGTTGAAGTGGCTCTGGAAAAACGGCTTGTCCTGTGGCCCGCATCAGCAGCTATCATATCCGCTTTGCGTCAAAGCAGTCGCGCTACACGAGTAATCTGATCTTTTCTGGCTGCGGTCTTCCTTTCTACTCCAGACCAGGTTTTGTGAGGGTCTTTGTCAGGGGCTGCTAGCTTTAAAAACGGCCAGAGTGCCGTTCTTCGGAAGGTGGATCCGCGTCCGAACTTGAGCGTCAATTGTTCTGCGTTTGTCGATGCTGCGCTTTGGGTGTTCTTGCCTGTTGACAGTGCATAGCAGAGTTACGATGTTGAATCTCATCAAGCAAAGCCTTACCAATTTAGATAGACTTTGATATAAAAACGGTGATCCTCCTGAGTTACAGGTACCTGCATCTCTGCGTGTGAAGCGACAAGAGGCCGTCGTGCACAAGCCCAAGCCACGCGTGCCGCTTCCGGGCGGCATTCCCGTACCAAAGCCCGCCACCAAACCCGCGAGCATGGACGACTCGTACCAGGCGTTCTTGAAGGAGATCGAAGGCTTGGGGGCCCTTGAATAGTCAAACGCTGGACTTGTACACTTCCTGAAAAGGGTTCGAAACAAACGGCGTCGATCTTTTGTCACGAAACGACAGGCGTCGATTCTGGATGAAGCAGGCTCGAATGGACAGTGTTGTGGACGATCTACTTATGTTCGATGTCTGACCTCGTCCTACGCTACCCAATGCAGTGACCGTGCGACTGCCCGGCCAGGCTGCACATGCCCTGCTTGCTGGGCCCCCCGGCCACACTGACACGAGAAGCTACCATGGCAGATCAGATCGACACTTGCTGCACCACCCCATTGACAATTCGATATGCACAAACCTACATAGGCCGCGCTGCCCCGGCAAAAAACTTTCATGAGTTGCACCATAAATAACCGGGTTGTGTCAACATCATGTCATGGTCAGATGTACAGTCTGCGGCGGGCCCGGGGCGGGCTGCAGCTGCAAATTTTAGCATCTTAAATTTGTGCCCGCTGGCAGGCTTTATAAGAATCTTCAATTTAGCAATAGTAAGCTTTAGCAATAGTAAGCCACCAGCCTGGGACGGGTAGGGTTAGCTTGGGGGTTAGGGTGGGTTCGGGTGCGGAGCGGGTGTTTTAAGTAGGTTAGGTTTTTAGTGTTAGTGTCGGAGCTTACTATTCCTAGGGCTTACTATTGCTAAATTGAAGAGACATAGGCTTTATGGCGGCAGCGAGCTTGTATATACCTACCTCATAACACGGGCGCGCCGATCATTTAATACTATAGAGCTAGCTCTGATATATATCACATATCCGGACTGAGGATAAAACATTGACTGTGTGATCACGGTCCGCGCGGTCTGCGGTCGAGAGTCTATTCAAATGTGAATCCGCGAACTGATTTGGATATCGGACCGCCCGGCCATACACAAATGCTGACGAAGACTCCAGCATCGAAGCACCGTCCTGAGTAGCCGCTGCAGTGACAGTACTAGTTTTCATCTGATCGATAGAAACTCGAACGTTGGCCGCTTCACAGCAATTAGATAGTGAACATGCAGTCATAGTTCCTTGGCTGTTAGGTCCGTAGTAATTGTTGAGAAGAAGTCGTAAGAACATGTCCTTGCGAACAGCACTAACAATGCCCTGTACCCGCACTCCGCCCCATGCCTTTGATTCGCACGGGCTATAAGAGAAGTATCCATGTTGGCCGCACTCCTCACGTGTATCCTAGACTCAAGGGTCACGGTCTGCTCGGGATCGGGAAGTTCATCATTGCAAGTCGATCAGGGTACATGCGGTGCCAAGGCAGATTTCATTCACTCTGCCGCAATTAACAAGTTCACACTGAAAAGCTGGTCAATGGCAGAAAGCAGGACTAATGCACAAGATAACGACCGATCATGTACTCATCAGTCGACGCCCCTAGCTAGTGCCCTACCATTTTCCTGAAGATTAGCCATGAGTCTCCGTCCGACTGCTTTACGTCGAAGCGTGCTTCTATAAAGAAGGGTCCACAATGTCCCAGCAACGCAAGTAACGCAGATGATAGTGCTACACACTAGCCCCACACTAGCATCTGCGAATGCGGACTAAAGACTGCGAATGCAACCTATAAGCTGCCAGCCGGGTACCCGCTATTCGAAGCCACAGCTAACGCCAAAATGAAGGGCTTTTGCACCTCAGTTACACACACACATTAACCCAGTGATTAGTTGTAACCTTGATTGTAGACCACATGTAAACACCACCAATCAGTTGGACGTAGAAGTTTGACAACGCGCTTGCCGAGATTAACAGAGGGAGACCGAGAAGTAGACCTCGCCGTTGACGGCCACGTTTGCATAAGGGCTGGTCACGTATGTGATCTGGCCGGTCGCGCCGGAGAAGTAGCCGCTGCCGCCCAGGATCGCATCCGGGGGCTGGGGAAGCTCGGCGAAGCCGTCGATCACTGCACGTCAGGGTTAGCGAGGGGTTTGCGATGGGTTACACATGGGCCGTTTGTGACAGATTTTCAATGAGTTTGTTTTGGTATCTTGTTGAAATTTGTCAGCGCTTCGCAACCAAACAGCCCAGGTTTCTGATGGAGCTGGAGCGGGGCTTGTGAGCGGTTTGTTGAGCTGGATTTGGATTCACTAGAGAATGCTGCGGCTGCGAGCTGTCAAAGAGAACGCGGGGTTCGATAACGGAGAACCTTTCAACGGCTCAACTGAATGCTGCCCGCATTCGAGACACCCTCTCTCAGATTGGTTCCTCATCCAATAAGTCCCGACAAGGCCATAACCTGGCGTTAAACCTGACCCTCTCAGGCTCGGTGCGCAGTCTGGCTTACAGTTTGAGATTGACAGAATGGGAGAGACCGAGAGTCAGTGAAATGGAAGCAGCTTAACTCAAAGAAGGAACCCCGACCCAATTTCGATTTGTTCGTGACGGGAAAAGCATCGGTTCTCGACACCAGCTGGTCAAGCTCATGCAACCGGGGGTCGTCCCTCGATCTCCTCAGGCTTTCAGGAAACAGTCCGCTCACTCAGCTGGCCTTTCTCCTTCTCTCACAAGGAAGTTGACAGGTAACGGAGAAGAAATGCAAGCCTTCACACACCTCCGACTGCTTCTGATGCGGCACAAGACATCCAAAGGAAGCCGAAAGGTTGCGAGCCGAATAGAAAAAGAGACTCTGAAAAAAGCATCACTCACGCTGGAATGCGAGGGTGCTGTTGGCATACGGCCCCGCGAAGAAGACGAACGTCTCGTGGCATAACTTATGCATGCGGCCACAGGACAACCAAAGGAAGCCGAGAGTTTGCGAACCAAACGAAAAAAAGAGGGGGGGGTGGGGGCAATGCGAAACTTACGCTGGAATGCGAGGGTGCTGTTGGCATACGGCCCGGCGAAGAAGACGAACGTCTCGTGGCAGAAGAGCGTAAAATTGGTCGCGTTCGCGGGAACCGGCGCCTGGACCACGGTGCAGTGTCCAGCGCCATAAGCGACGAGCGTCCGGTTTCCGGTGGGGCCCGGGTCCGTGATGTTGGTGATATCGTATATGTCGTTGTTATACGCGATGTAGTCGCCCAGCTGGACCAGGCTGCTGCTGGTGTTGAGGTGGTTCGGGTACGACGTGTGGCGGGGGGTGTTGCTCGCGGACAGCGTCTCGATCAACCTGGGGGGCGGGGCGGAGAAAAGGTGTAAGTTTCTGCTTAAAGAAAGGGAAAAACTTGTGGGGAAGAAAGAAAACACAAAAAGTGAATTCAGATGTAACGGAGCAGCGTCTCGATAAAGCTGTGGTTGGGGGGGGGTGGTCAAGAAAAGGGAGAGAAGAAGGTGGGAGGGAATATAAGACGGTGTGTAGTCTGAGAAGGGAACAGCGTCTCATTCACCCAGAGAGGGGGGGGAGGGAAAGAGAGAACGGCGCTCCGATCTTGGCAATTTACGGACGATTTCGTGTCTTACGAACAATGGTTTGTTGAATCCTGAGGCGGGGCCAGCGACAGGATCCTTATTGTGCACGACACATCCTAGTTTGCCTAGTCAGCAGACAGAGTCTCGATCAACCTGGGGCTCGTTATTGAAATTATATGATTACTTGTATCTAAAGTGCAAGTCTCTGAAGTGTTGCACGGAAAGGTCTGACCTTTGAGCTTCTTTAAGCTCAGGGTGAGTTCAAAGAAGGTACGTTTTGCTTGTCTGCGAGAAATGCGGTAGAAAAGTTCTTATCTTGGGCATTTCTCATAATTTCTAATAACAATGCTTCGTGGTTAGCTACTGCAGCCTTTCTTACAGAGTGACGGAGAGAAGCTCCGCTTCCGAGTCGTGAACTGTCCCGGTATACAGCAAACTTATGTCTCATTTGCGCGTGGCCAGGCTATACTAGGCAGCTGTGAAAAGGCACAACAGAAAAGTCTTTGGAGAGGTCAGGGGGAGCCTCCATTGCTTGTTCTTCTAAATTCTGCGGTTGTCATTTCTTCTCCATATTTGGTTTTATACACGACATCTAAAAGAGGCAGGCCATGCCAATGACTTGGCACAATGCCGCAGCTGATGGGTTGAGCTCGCAAGGTCGCGCGCGAACTGATCATTTCACTTTTCCCAAAGCTAGATGCATAGAATGTACATGCATGCATCACATGCTTGCGGTTTCTAATGATAAACTCGAATGCTTACCAGTTAGCTGACGAGCCTGCGCTTGGGACTGTGACTTGGCGGCTGCAAAAGGGAAAGAGTAGACTTCAGAAAATCTGTCACCCACATTCTCGACTTAGAATCTTTCCTTAAAGTGCAATTGTGAGGGGCAACATCACTTTCTTTGGAATCGAAGTAGACTGTGTGGTTGCAAATGATGGCAGATTGGTTCACTTTGTCACGTTGAGGAGCTAATGTACTCATCAACACCTGTCAGGATGCTGACAGTTCATTAGTGCATTGCAAACAGCGGTCCTCCTTATTTCACAGCCAGCAGACGGCAAGAAGTCCCGAAAAGAGGTCAGAAAGTCTCTGCAAATAGACAAGCAGTTGACTTCTGGCAAGCCTGAACCTAGAATCTTTGGCCGATGGAAACTTATCATCTCAGCACACTCAAACCAGTGGAGAAGCATTAGGTAAACTGGCTGGGGCGGAGGTTGTATTGCAATGTCCAAACAAAGGTGTTTTTGCAGTCAATCCAATTTTCAAGTTTACCTGATTGCCACCTCTTCCGTTGGCGTTGGCGTCGCTTTGACCACCTCCTGACGCGCAGAAGCAGATGTGTTGTGAGTTGGTGAATGCCTTCTCTCACAGAAAAAGCGAAGGGGACGGTTTCTGTTGCTTCTGAGCTATGGCGTAAAAACTCACAGTTGTGAAATAGTGCGCTAGCCTGTTGATCGACTTGACGCCGTTGAAGCTGAAATTCGAGCGTCAAAGCTGGAATTTGAGCGTCGAGGGGCTGCTCAGTGCTCAGTACTCATGACGAAAGCTTCCACCTGGCAATAACGACCTGTGCACTGACAGCAGGTCATACCTTATACTGTCTACCACAGTACCGTACCACTGTAAGCCTTGTAAGGTGACCAGCTAGCTGTACCTTCTGTAGCTGGTACCTAGGTACCGTGATAGGTGACTTCTGAATCAGCATTTATTAATTGTTTTCCTCAAGTGATGCAAGTCGAGAAAGAAAATGTTCTGAGAAAGCTTGCCGATGTGTCAGGAAATATTTTCTAGCATTTTCCGCCATTTTGTCACACAAAAACGCCTAGAGAAGGTTCAGATCTGCAAATTATCCGAAAATTTCTTGGCAGCCTGAGGCTGCTGATACGACAGATCGATTTGGAAATAATGAATCTGCATGAAAAGTGCCGATCACAATGGGAACCATAGTAGGTAATACCGTAGGCATGTTCTGGTCTTGACAAGCCTGACATGTCCCAGGCTCAGCCAATCACAGTACCTACCTACCGGCTGTTACTAGGTAGTACCGTACCTATCTACCAGTAACCGTGCCAAGAAAAGGGTACGGGTAACGGCAGATAAACATAGGTACGGTGTGCAATCTTCGGTACATCATACATGTGACCTTCTGCTCAAGCCTAAGGTCGCGATTCGCGAACTCTTGAACGGTCGGGCCTCGAGGCAAACTGATGATTGCCGATCGGCCAAGCCTTTAATACGATTAACGGTCATTTAAACTCATTTCTAGATTCTGACAATACTATATGTACCCCATCTACCCCGTACTGTACGGTCCGACGAAGCCTCGCGACTCCGAGCGAGTCGCGCCGGCGAGTCGCGAATCTGACAGGTTGGCAGTCTCGACCGGGGAGAAGTCCCGAGGATAGCGGCGACCGAGAAAAAGCTGATGCAGAACTCGGGAATGGGGACCCGGGGGTCAGGTTCCGGCCGAAGATGGACGGTTACCGTACGCAGGTAGTTCTTGCCGGCCGGCATCTCGAATCATGACGGCCCCGCCGCATGACTTCGGCCAATCACAGTACACCGCGTGTCCTTCAAGTTAGTCCCAACTGCTGCCAAAAAACTCAGATTGTCGGCTCTGCATGAAATCACGACCGTTTTGAGTCGCCCTACAGCAGCGAGTACCGCGCCCCACGACGGTACTGTGACCTGTCCCCTGCTTTTGACGCTCCTTGATCCGCCCTACGCTAATGATACGCACGGGCTATATCTCGGAATCACGTCGCGCTTATCCAGCTCTAAATCACCGGCACAGCTGGCCACAGAAGTACGTTGTGCCCACACGCACGCGAGATGTTCACAAATCGCAGCTCAAGCTCAGCTAAACAAACCAGACCATCTTAACCTCCACCCCGGGTTCTTTTAACCAGCTCATCCCGTCAACTGCCCACCCGCGAAACTGAGCTCTACAGCGCGCCCGCGCACCTTAGTACATCTGGTTACTCGCAAACCGTTTCTCAAACCGGACCACCTTAACCTCCACGGGGTTCTCGTCGTCGCCCTTCCGGAACGCCGCCACCTCGATCGTCGTCGCGCCGAACTTCATCCGCACGTCGAATGAGCGCTGGCCACGTGGCAGGTCTTCCATGTCGAGCGAGAACCCAAAGTCTTCTTCCACTCCGTCGTCGTCCGCGAATCGTGGGTCGCGCTTATCGGTGGTTAGTAAAAAGACGGGGCACTGGGTTTGGTCCAATTTGGACGGCCGGAAGGAGTGCCGGATCTCCGAATCGACCAGCACCTGCCAAAAGAGAAAAGCATTGAACGGCCGAATTGGCTCATTGTGGCTCTTCATAAGAGTTGGTTGCTAGTGCTCCAGAAGCACCGAGTCTCTATTTGTTGAAGGCCAGAGTAATCAGAGTTTGCATGGACAGATTAACTTGCATTTCTGATGACACCTTATACATGGTCGCCCAGAGAAGTGCGCCGGCGGCCGGTTGACCCATTTTACAAGTGGGCATTAAGGTTGAACAGATTCTGTTGGTTCCTCATATTGTTGTTGATCACGCAAGACGTGTTTAGAATCTGCTCGCAGAATATCCCATAGGCTATGGGTTGCACTAGAGAAAACCGACATAAACCAGACAAGTCGATATCGAAAAGACGAGATACAGGATGAAAGTACGAAAAACGAGAGGAAAGCAGATAGAAATACACGAGTCCGTCTAAAGCTACACAGAGAGAGGAAAGAAACAGGAAACAAAGGAGGAGGAGGAAACGAAAAGAGAGGAACGAACGAAAGATAAGACGGCACCTGGTCGCCGTTGCGCACGAAAATGTTGAACGAGTTGCTGACGTGGAAGCAGCCGTCCTCGTCGTGGAACCACTTTTTGTCCTCGGGGTCGCCCGGCCGGAATTCGCGCGCGCACTTTATACCGTACGTCTTGCGCGAGGTGCGCTCCGTGATGATGGACGGGTCCAGCCCGAAGAGGACCGCGCCCTGGCAGATGGCCGTGCCTGGAAAAAGGGGTTACAAGGGGTTAAGCTCACTTCGTGAAGGTTTGATTTCTTTAAGAAGGCATCCGAAAAAGCAGAATTGTGCGGTTGGCAAAGAGGGGATTGAGGAGTACCGCGAACGGCAAGCCGAGGCGAAGTCTGTCTCTGTCAGTCACGCCCGTGTGCAAGAGGCAAACAAAAGGTTCATGCGGGGTCAAACCTGGGCAAGTGCGTAAAAGTTTCTGAGAAACAATAGGACGCTTCATAGGGTTTGAGATGGTTTGAACGTTTTGATCTGAAAAACACTCAAAGCCAGCGCCTGCGTTCACCCCTTACCAAGCCCTTGGTCTTTTTCCATTCCAAACATCCATCTTGTCTCCTGTAGACTTTCTCATCCAACTAAAACAACTCTGACCTGGCTCCGGCGGCGTGACTATGTTGGCTACCCGGTGCGCGAATGTCTCAGTCACGCGCTTGATGAGGTACGGCGACTGGGAGAACCCCCCGACCAGGAAGAGCTGGTCACACTTGGGGCTCGCCGCCAGCTGCGCGTCGATGAGCGCCAAAATCTTATCCAGCGTCGGGTCGAAGATGGAGCGCAGCTCCGCAGGACTGATGATCAGCCGGTCCCTGCGGAGAGGACGGATTCCGGCGGATAAGTTGGGCGGATTCTGTCGACAGATTGGGGAAAACTTCTAAGGAGAAGGTCTACCCAGGGTCCGGTAGTTTATGGAGCGAAGCTCCGCAGGGGTGATGATCTGCGCGTAATGATCTGCCAGTCCCTGCGGAAGGAGCGGATTCCGCGGATGATGGATAGCAGAATATAACGCCCTGGGTGCGATTTTTGGATCTGGTTGAGCCGCGTTCCCGTCCAGCACTGGGTTGAAGACGAAGCAGAGCTCCTGATCATCATCAGGTGGATGTTGCACATTACAATAAGGCACAGAGAGCGAAGTGGTAACGAGTTTCTGAAGAAGAGGTACTGAAGTGACTATAAGGGCCCTTTTGAGGGGACAGTCACTTGAAGATACCATGGCGAGTTTTTGCGAGGAAAGGGTGCAGCATCAAACAAATTAACTGTGCCTTTGCGTCACCTGATCCGCAAAACTGAGCGAGTTATGCAATCTCATACTTCTATCAACATCACCCGAGTTCGCCACTGCTTTGAACTGATACTCCAGATAGCTATTGAGCGATCTCTCGTCCTCGAAGTGGGTTTCCTGTCCTTGGAATGGGTTACCTGTCCTCCAAGTGGGTTACCAGTCCTCAAAGAGGGTTACCGGTCCTCGAAGTGGGTTACCTATCTCAAAGTGGGCTACCTGTCGTCGATGAGGGTTACCTGTCCTCGAAGTAGGTTACTTGTCCTCAAAGTAGGTTACTTGTCCTCAAAGTAGGTTACCTGTCCTCAAAGTGGGTTAACTGTCCTGAGAGTGGGTTACCTGTCCTCACAGTGGATTACCTGTTTTCTCTCAACGTGGGCTGCCTGTCCTCTAAGTGGGTTACTTGTCCTCAAAGTGGGTTACCTGTCCTCGAATTGGGTTCCCTGTCCTCAAGTGGGTTAATGTCCTCAAAGTGGGTTACCTGTCCTCAAAGTGGGTTCCGTGTCCTCAAAGTGATTTACCTGTGTTCGAAGTGCGTTAGCTGTCCTCAAAGTGGGTTACCTCTCCACAAAGTGAGTTACACGTCCTCAGAGTGGGCTACCTTTCCTCAAAGTGGGTTACCTGACCTCGAACTGACTTACCTGTCCTCGAAGTGGTTTACCTGTCCTCGAAGTGATTTACCTGTTCTCAAAGTGGGTTACCTAAAAAAAGGCTTACCTGTCTTCAAACACCTCGGAGTCTTCTTTCTCCCACATGGCCGCCAGCCTGGCCGGCAGGTCGAAGACGACCGGGTTGCCCGCGCCGTTGAAGCCGCGCTTCTGCTGCTCCCACCACGACATGAGCAGCACCATCTGGCGCGGGTGGGCGTCCAGGAAGCGCTCCAGGCACGGGATGCGGTCGCCGAGAAACTCCAGGAATGCGCCGTCCACGTAGGTACCCCCGCACAGGTCGCCGCTGCCGCGCGACACCTCGCGCAGCGAGCGGTCCATCTTCTCCTGCACGATCAGGTCCACCGTGCCGCCGCCCACGTCTGTGTAGAAATTCTGGACTCAGGTGAAAAGCCGACGGGAGTTGGAAAAGTGACTTGAGGTGAGGAATGAAGCGGATTACTGGACTGATTTGCCCACATGTCCGGATTGTCAGGTCTGTTGTAATGCCGCCCAGGATTGCAATAGAGGGCTCCGAATGTGAAGACAGCACAAGAAACAAAATGGGAGCCTTCACTTCTACGTTTGACGATATCGAAACCTGTGCAGAAAGATTTGACGACGCTTTCATTGGTTCAAGCGAACTTAGCAGGCAGTTGTCAGAATACACCGGTCCTATTTCCAGCAGCTGCAATATACCCGCTCTGTCATGAACATGATTCCACGATTCCACGTTCTCGGAACCCCTGACCTAGTTTTCACGGTCGCGTTGCTCCCCCACCCGCGACATACCTTGTGGCGCTTGATTTGTCCTCGCGCGGCCGCTGTAAAGCAAACGAGCCGAAGAAAACGTAGAAACCAACGAGCTTGGAACCCACTTCCGATCAGAAAGACGCCGCCGGCTTGAGTGCCCCCTTTGCCGCCGCCATGTGCTTGTCGCAAGGTGAAACAAAAGCAGACTGAGACGAGCGGAAAGCAGATTTGGAACCCACACGCGATAAGGAACATCACAAAACCCCCCCCCCGACAGATTGGCGCCTGAAAGACGCCACCCATGCCCGCACCAAACTGTTGTAATGTTATCCGCCCAACACGCGCCAAAGTGTCACCAGAAGAACACCAAATTGGACCTGAAGCATATTTGACGACCAAAAGGCTCGTGTCAATTGGGCGTCACTTAGTCCCTCATAGCATATTCGGTGCCTTTGTTGTGTTAAAGTCTTGTAATGTTTGTTGCCTATCTGGAGCAAACCCATTTGGCGCCTATCAGGCGCCAATTTGTCGGGGGGGCAAGTTTGTGATGAAGAGCTCGCCGCGCTTGATCCGTTCCCCCTGGCTGTGTTGCCGCAAGCAAGTTCAATTGGAGAACGGAAAATTTTAAGAGCCCACCTTGGATAAGGAAGAGGTCGCCTCGCTTGATGCCCGCCGCGGCGCCGCCATGTGTTTGTTCGAGGTAAAAATAAGCAGAACTCAAGCGGAAAGCAGATTTGAAGCTCACCTGCAATCATAATCACGTCTACGCGCTTGATCCCCCCCGCGTGGCCGCGTTGTGTTGTGGCCAGGCAAAATTAGTACGGAACGAGCAGGAGTTCACCTGCGATGAGGAAGACGTCGCCTCGCTTGATCCTCCCCGGCGCAGCCGCCCTGCGTTTGTCGTAAGAGGGAACTAGAGCATGAAAACAAGAGAAGACGACATATGAGCCCACCTAAAATCAAGAAACGTCCCCACGCTTGATTTCCCCCCCTGGCGGCCGCCATGTGTTGTTGCAAGTTGAAAGAAAAGCAGAATAAGTCAAAAGAGTAGGCGTTTTCATTTGAAGCCTACCTGCGATCAAGAACACGTCTCCGCGCTTGATCCCCCCTCGCGCAGCCGCCATGTGTCTGTCGCAGTAGACGGCGGCCGCCTCGGGCTCGAGCACGATGAGCAGCGGGTGCGGGCTAGCGCCAGGGCCGATCAGCCCCGCCGCCTCCGCGATGCGTTTCATCTCTTGCTTCGCGGGCTCCTCCCATATGGCGGGCACCGTCAGGCACCACTGGATGTCGGACTGCGCGAAAAACGGTTGTGACAATGGGTGCGTCATCTTTTTGGTGCCTCAACTTATTTCGGAGTTCAAGATCGTCAGGGTAACTTTCCCAAATGATAAACTTAAATCCAATTGTACTACGTTTCATCCACAATCTCCTCCCAAATGGCGGGCACCGTCAGGCAACCACTGGATGTCGGACTGCGGGGACAAAAGGCTTTGGATTTACCTTCTCAAAATATTTGCGTCAACTGCGACTCTAAAATTGAGAAGCGATCCTGGTCATGAGGATAAGATTGAAGGGGATACGCGTGTTATCTGTGAGTTTCCAGGCGCCAAAGCTGATGCGAAGCCTCGTACTTGAATCTATGGGGGAGAAGTTGTGTCGTCTTGAAGTGGGAACCCTGACGAGAAGCCTACTCGCAGCTTGGAAGGAGGCCCTAATTTTGGGTTTCGAGCCCGCTGGAGACTGGCAAGAGAAAAGGAATGAAAGGCCCCGAGTCCTGACATACTTGCCCACCTAAAAGGTGGGCAAGTCCGACGTACTTTCCCAATTTAGCTTGAGTCTCAGTCAGCTGTTGACCAATACTTCTATTCCGAAGGAACACCCCCATATTCATCAAGTACTAAAAGCGGAACTACCCCCCACCTTCTCGATGCACGCCCCCTGCAGCTTGGCCCGGATCTCATTAGAAAGCTTTTCTTCACTGTCTATACTCAATTAACCACCCGCTTGTTCGCAGACGAATGAAAAAGCAATAAAATTACCTTTCTGATGTAAGCCCCCAGCTTGGCCTGGATCTCCTTGACGGCCATAGCCCCCATCTCGGCCAGGTACTCCGACAGCACGCGCCGCACTGTCAGCCCCTCTGGCAGCTGCAGCCCCTCCCCCGCGAAAGCATACTCCGCGCTCGCCAGGTGCAGCTTCACTCGGCTCAGCATCACCTGCACCAAAAATCTCGTATCACTAGTTGCCCTCCGTTCGGTTTGTGAAGCAATCTTAGCAAAGCCCGTCGGGCAAAGGAAGCTAAGTTTTTTTCTACCTCAATTCGGACCGTTAGCTGGCCCTCGGTTCCATCAAGCGTCGCTCGTAACGAGATCCATCTGATTCTTTCTCCTGAAAGCGTCGATGGTCTTAATGACAAACGTTTTCCAGAATCCGAAGGCTCAGCAGAGATCATGAGCCTTTCCACCTACTTTGAGATCGAAGAACCGTCTAAACTGTGAATCGGACTCTCGTTACCTGAACTCTGTTTTGCCTGACACATCCGACCAGGCCCTCTGCATTCGACATACTGAAGAAGTTTGAAGCCTGAGCTCGGGCTGGAATTTGCACCTACTTTCTGCAAAAAACCATTTCGACGCCTGTTTGGAGGATTCAACAAACATAATCAAGAGCATAGGCAGGACTATTTTTCTGGGACGTCTTGTCATGGTCACCCTACCTGCCGCCCCTCCGCGGTGTCTTGCCCCGGTCCCAAGTAGTCCAAGTGCCGCAGCATAGCGGGGTATCCGATCTCCAGCAACTTCCAGCCACCCCCCGGGGAAGTCTCCTGGTAGAGAGACGTGGTGGAAGTTTTGCAATAAGGGCGACCGATCGCCTCCACCTGCCCCGGCCAGTTGTATTCGCCGTAAACGTTCCCGGGTCGCGCCGGTAGGCGTAAAAGAAGCCGGAGTACGTTGTCCCGAGGTCGATCGCGGCGACCACCGGGGAGGGGGCCAGGCTCACGGTCTCCAGAGCGCGCCGCGCGTCTTCCATTTTGACAGCGAAAGGGGTGGCTTTCTCCGGGTGTGGAGACCTGAAGTCTGTGTTCGAATGTAAAAGGGTGTGACTTTCTCCGAATGTTGTACCAAAAGTCTGTTTTCAAATGACGAACTTGAATGAGTTACCTTGAACGGTGACGCTTCCAAGAATTTGTGCAATCTATGTACTGTCTTCTTTTTACATTCCTAGGTTTTCGTCCTTCTGTGCTCCGAATTAGAACAGCTTCGGTGCTCTATGGAAGTTATCCGACTTGCGAATGAACCCGTTTTCCTTCTTTGCTGTGGAAGAAAGGTGTTCTGGTCACTTTCGGGTCAGGATCGCCTGGCAGGTCAGACTTTCTTCCTCAGACTTTCTGTGACGTGACGTCTCTTCAATGGAGGCGCCTTTCCTTCAAAATGTTCCTTTTGGAGGAGCGCCTTTTGGAGGTAGAGTGCTGGGGTTTCCTTCAAACTGCTGAACTAGGAGCGGAAAGGACACTCCCTTTCGAAGCCGGCTTTGAGAAGTTGAGTTTGGTGAGCGACTCCAGTTCTTGTCACGTCAATCACAGCAGGATCCAGTCCGAAGATGCAGACACTGATCGTATGAGCGGGTACTCCGAGTCCAGAACATGTTCAATACAATGTGTGTGAGTCAAATCGCTGGCGTTACTCGTGCACTTTCAGGTCACACTCCCATTAATAGCCGTATGGAAATAGCCGGATCGAAACCCCCTCGTTAGAGTAAAACCGAAACGGATTGCAGCGCGCCGGTAAGGTTCTTGTTTCTACCTACTCTCGGTGGGCCCTCGAAAGTCGCGATTATAGCCGTTTGCTTTTGGGACGTCAACTGCCCTCGGACTCTCCAAAGGTAGAAATTAAGAGAGGATCAATGCTAAGATTACGGGGTGAGCATCCAACCTGTATCGAAATTCGGTTGTCCCATCATGCTCTGTTTCCTGGTCCCGTCAATGAATCTCAACTCTGTTTCGTCGCGCAAATGAGCATCTTTTACACGTCACATCCAAGCCGTGGTCATGTCAAGGATTCCCCCTCGTCGTTTTCTCTCTCGGAGATTTCGGGAGTCGTGACCGTCGCAGTGCTGACTGTAAAACAAAAGAGTTCCTTGATTTGACGAGAACTTGTGATAGAAGAAGCTGTTTGTGCAATCCCCTGGGAAAACCAAAGCGGATTTTGTGACCGAAAAATGTGCACCTAGGCCAAAGTTCGAGGTGTTCCACTCCGTTGAATCAAAACGAGGTAGCTTCGTCGACGTGCAAGAGGTTAGCTTCCGAAGAGAGAACCACCAGCTGTTGCGGTAAATTCCTCGCAATCGAAGAGCCAGTCCCCAGAGACAAATGTCAACAGCAGATTGCTCTCGAAGAGGCACGCTAACTTTTCTTGAAACAAGAATCCCTGAAGTACCTTGCGCCCCCTTGATGACTAGATGACTGAAATTCGTCACTAGCAACACTTCACTGCTCTCGGCGTCCCCCAGGTTTACATGGGCGGAGGACCCAGCCGGGGGAGCTCCGACGAGAGTGCTTCTTCCTTGGAGGACCCATCAAGCGACAGCGTCCTGGTTGTGAGAATGAACCGGCAAGGGAGAGACGGCTTGTACCATAACCAGGGATACAACTACGGCTACAGAGGGGGAGCTGCTTATCCAAATGTCTCCTCCAGGAGAACCAGCTAGTATTCAGGTGGCAACTATAACACAGGTTCCGGAGCTCACAATGTTGGCGGCAGGACAGGGGAAATCAACCGAGCGAGTCAGGGGCACTCTGGCGGGGCGGGTTCTCCAAACAATGGGCCGCGGGCGGGGGATGCCCACGTGGCAGGACACGTGGCCCCCTCACAGGGGACAAGCGCGCCCGGCCGCGACTCGGAGGGTTGGGGTTTAGCACTGGAGAGCGCCGGACAGCAGATAACGGCTTTGAACGGACACGTGGCGTCCATGTACCAGTCCGTCTCGAACACGCTGGAGAAGCTACAGGAGGCGCGCGAGGAGATGCTGACGTCACAGGCGGCCGCGGCCGCGCGCGAGGCCGACGCCTTCGAGCGGCTCGCGG